AGAGAGAGAGAGAGAGAGAGAGAGAGAGAGAGAGAGAGAGAGAGAGAGAGAGAGAGAGAGAGAGAGAGAGAGAGAGAGAGAGAGAGAGAGAGAGAGAGAGAGAGAGAGAGAGAGAGAGAGAGAGAGAGAGAGAGAGAGAGAGAGAGAGAGAGAGAGAGATATATATATATATATATATATATATATATATATATATATATATATATATATATATATATATATGTCAGTAGGTGTTGTTAAATGGATGTACCCGAAATAAGCGCCTATGTTTTCCATACATCAATCTATTACAAAAAATGGGCCGGATATCGGAACAGTGTTCAAGTTTTATGTGATTTAGGCCCTGGCTTCACCTCTGCCAAGATTTTGGTGTATGCCATGATTTGCGATAGCAAAGCGAAGCATCACCCTATTTTCTCAACATGCTTTCAACCAGAAGCCTGTTTTAGCAATTGTGTCATCACCCACCTTTGCTTTTTTCGGATACGCCCATGGTACTTCAATTTTGAAGTCACCACAATACAAGTAGCCAATTCAACCACAATAGATCAATCCTGAGATCTCTCTCTCTCTCTATCGATCTCCGTTAGTCACGTGTAAATGTGTCCATAAACATGACAGCTGCGTCAAAAACAAACTACATAAAACGTTTTGAGTCAAAACCCTTACTCTGTTGCCTCCAACTTAGAAATTCTCAGGATTTTCCTTTTTGGTCGTAAATCTCATCGGGAGGAAACAAACGCCGTTTGCTTTTGCGATGGATCCATTAGTTATTAAAGTTTCAGGAGGGGGGAAGGAGGGCATCTGCCCTCTCGGCATCGAACAGGTTTGACGTTTACCCCCCCCCCCCCCCCCCCCCCCAGAATGGAGTGAAATCGTAGGCGAGCTCAAAACCATAATAGCTGATTTTTATATCCGGGTCGCCCGGCTATAACGTTAAACCTGCTAGGCCGTTTTTATATTTGTGTTCTGGGCCGCCTTAAGAGAGCCAAAACTCATAAGCCCACACAACGCACTACGTTTCGTTCTTCGGAAGCCCGCGTTCTTTTCTTTAGCACATTTCGGGGCTTCTTGTCGAACCACGCAGGAAATTTACGTTTGATGCATACCATGGGGTTCAAAACTTGAATCGCAGCTACTAATCCACAATGCTAGGTCGACCGCTTCATCTGTATTCATCGTCTTTAGGTTCGATTTTGGCAACAACATCAGTGCGAAATCTGCCGAAAACTGCGTGTTTTGATCAGAGCACAAACGCCTCACAGATTTAATATAGGCTGTCCTAGCACCACTGGACTCATGTCATTACCTGCAGTGGTCTTTATCTGTATCTGAGTGGAGACCACTATCCAAAGCGCCTGGGTCTTGTGCTGGTTGTCACACCTGGTGACTACAACCAGCCAGCTCGTGTTATTCGTGTTTTTAACGTCATTATTATACATGAGCTCCTCTATTTAACTCCAGTATCGAGTATAGATATAGGTATTTGTAACCTGTGGGTTAAAAGCTTTCACTTTTCGGCCTCAAAGAAATCCGGAACTCCCCTCCCATCCCCGGTCTCCACCTAGTACCTTTATTCCATCGGAGGGTGGTTCAGCCAGGAGCTGGATGCGCACGCAGGCCACAGACTCAGCGGGGAGTCCCCAGCAATCCCTCTCCCCACCTGCCCTCCCAGACGAGCCCGCTCTGTTGATCTCTGTCTGGCCGCGAGAGGCTGATCTGGAATGTCCTCGGTAGGAAATTTCAGCCACGCACTGATAACACGATTTGACCATACTCTATGAAAGGCTTCCGGCGCTACCTCAAGCTATCGTCAGATTGGCTCGTCGCAATGAAAAGGTGTCATGATGCGATAGTTTCTGCGCATCACAGGAGTGATATTTTGGGAGACGCAAAAAGAACCAATCAGAGGCTGCCAAACGGGATCGGTAAGCCTCACAGCAAAATGCGGCCTGGCTGAGGCTGATCACCGGTGTCAATAGTGGCACTTCGGCCCAGTCGTCGTCCGCCATTTTGCGGGCGTGCGTGCGATCTTGGAGCGGTGCTCGCGTGTTGACGGAGCGGGAATGCGGCGCAGGCCCCTGCGGTTTTCTGGTCTGCAGTTTGTGGTGCAGAGGCTGCAGTGTTTGCTTGCTACCTTTTTCAGGTGGTCAAATGCTACTGGCACTGGGTGATCTCGTGGCGACGCCCACAAGGCCCATAAGAAGCCGGGGCCGACCGTGCAACGTGTGCTGGCATCGTGGTCGCGGTGCGGTATCGGGGTGGGGGATAGCGCCAGACATTGCACGGGTTACCGCCTTGGGCTGGAGCTCGCTATGTTTTCGTGCAGAAACTCGGAACAGTGCTGCTGCATTTCTATGCATTCTGGCGAACATGCGCGAATGTGAACAAGGAGCAGTGCTAGACGTCGCCGGCCGGGCCAGATGCTTGCCCGGTTGATTGTGGACTCCCGGCTTAAGCATGCAACCAAGTATTGGGAGTCGCAGGGGACCAGAGGATGTCGCGGATGTTGGGCCAAACTGTTCAGAAGTTGTGAGCGTTCGTTTTGTTTCATGCACATACGTCATTTCACTGAGGCGCCCAAGCCGCGAGGAGCCCGTAGGAACCACTTTTGAGCAAACTGTCCGGACGTCATGACTGGTGGTCCTTTTTAGTTATGTGCGTAATGCTTGTTACACTGCGATTCTGCAACGCATGATTAAATGCACGTGGTGTTACGAAATGTTGTGTGTCAAGACCGACCAGAGACGAGAGTCCAGATTGTCTGTGTTTGTAGACATGATTCCGATAGGTGTCATTGGGGCTTTACGCGGCACTCCGCAGCTGAGGCTATGTGGCGTCGCCTGTCTCTCACCCTGGCAGGAAGAGCGGGCACCGCGGGGAATCGAACCCCGTACCTCTGGTTTCCCAGACACGCAGTGGTTAACGCAGACGCGTCTGCCGCTTCACTACCGGTACCCCATCTCCGATAGGCTAATTTATCGTATTTTCTTATCTGGATCACAGGATTACCGCGAATCAATCTGTGGGCCCATGTGCCTTATTGGGTCAGACAACACGTTTTCAATCTTTTGGTTGATACCAATGTAGACCAGATTTTACTTTGAGAGGAAGGTGTGTTCAGATGAGACCAGATACTAATTTCATTCGAGCTACTGCATATATTGAGACCACTAGTCCTAACAAGAAGTGTCCAAGGTTTCAGCTTATGGATATGCGCAATATTTAAATTGCTGCAAGGCTGTAAAGAGTCGCAAAACGTGTCGTGTAAATTCAATAGGGAATATAAAACCTGCAAATGGTTTCCGAAACCCCAAAAGGGAGCGACTTTCAGTGCAGATCCAGCATGCAGCAATGAGTATGTACTGAGGTGGGCCATGAGCCGAGAGCACATGCACACTCGATTCAAGGACGGAAGGAGTT